CATGACAAAAATACCTAATCACATATCCCTTTTAAACAGTTTTCTCCCTCATCTGTTTCAATGCAGTATACATTATTAAACCCATCTTTCTCAGTCTCCCCCCAACCCTGATGTCAGTCCTGTTTTACAACAGTGGCACCATGCAGTATTTGTCCTTTTGTGACTGAGATACTTCACATAGCATAATGTCCTCCAGGGTCACCCATTTTGGATAATATTGCATGAGTTCCTTGTTTTTCAATACAGCGTAGTATTCCATTGTGTGAATATACCACAGCTTCTCTATCCATTTTTTTGTTGATGGGCACTTAGGTTGTTTCCAACTCCTTGCTATTGTGGACAAAGAAAGCCACGATAAACATGGGTGTGCATATATCTGCTTGGATGTCAGTTATGGTCTCTTTGGGGTATATTCTCAGTAATGGAATTGCTGGGTCAAATGGTATCTCTATTTGCAACTTTTTGAGAAAGCGCCATACCGCTTCCACCAACAGTGAATAAAGGTTCCAATTTTTCCACAACCTTGCCAGCGTTTGTTGCTGTTCTGTTAAATATTGCTATTCTGATTGGGGTGAGATGATTATCTTATAGTTGTTTTGATTTGCATCTCTCTTAGAGCTAGGGATTTTGAACATTTCTTCATGTGCTTGTTAGCCATCTGAATGTCTTCTTTGTTGAAGTATCTGTTCATATCCTGTGCCCATTTTTCTACTGGATTATTTACCTTTATCTTGTTGTGGTGCTCAAGTATTTTATAAATTCTGGATATAAGTGTCTTATCTGATATGACATTACCGAATACTTTTTCCCAGACTGTGGCTTCCCTTTTTACTCTGTTGGAGAATTTTTTGGATGTTCATAGGGATTTGAGTCTTAGAAAGTGCCATTCATCTATTTTATCTTCTCCTGGTTGCAGGTACTACTAAACTTTTGCTAATGGTAATTATGAAATACACCTTTGTTCCTTTTCGCTTTGCTTTCTAGAAAGTGCACAGCCAGAAATTCCTTGCATTTTTTTTATTTCTGATGTCTTCTGTATTTTCCCCGGTCTACACTTTCTATTAATATTTGTAGTTTATAATTTATTTTATTGCATTTGTTTATTACTATGCTTCAAATCTCTGAAGAATAGCCATATATAATTATTCTAATCTGCTATCAGTTAAAATACATTTTATAAAAATGTTGCTGGTAGGTGCTGTGGAGTTGACTCTATTCATAGGGACCTTATGAACAACAGAATGAACCAGAAAATTACAGATAGTTATATAAATCTTACGAAGCTCTGATGACCTAGAGGTAAGAAGCTGTGTTGCTATACTTCAGCTCACAGTTCAAATCTACCAGCTCCTCTGTGGGAGAAGGAACAGTTTTCTCCTGTGCTATTAACTGCATCTGAAATCCTTTTGGAGGGTCAGCTATGGGTCAGTCCCAACTTGATGGCTCACAACAACGTATAAATCTTAAGGGAATTCTGGTGGTAGAATCTGGAATCATAAGGAGGTACTCTGCTAACCCAAAGATGTCACATCTCTTATGATTTGAATTTACTAGCAGCTCCACAGGAAAAAGATGAGCTGTGTCCTCCTGTGCAACTTAGAACCTCTGAAAACCTGCAGCAGGGTTGGTTACCTGTGGATTGCTACCCACACTATTCAACCGGAAATAAAAATCTTAAATAGCTCTGCTGGCTTCATACATTATATGTTACACTTTTAATGGAAATTCAGCAGTTGGAATCTACTAGCTGCTCTTAGGAGGAAAGATGGACCATCTCCTCACCCTCTGAAACTAGTGAAGGGTTGCTATGAGTGGGAATCAACTTGATCACAGTGGGTAGATAAATTTTGTGATACTTGAAGTATATACTGAGGGTCTGAACAGAAGTTCATGGGGTCACTATGAGTCAGAGTTAACACAACAACACATATAAACTGTCTTATGGAAAAATGATGAGACATGTTATGAATAGTTTTTAGAGATCAAAGCAAGAGTATGGGTTAGTAAGCTTAATTTCTTTAATGACAAGAGTTGTTGTTAGGTACCATGGAGTCTACTACGACTCATAATGACCCTGTGAACAACAGATCTAAACTTGGTCCTATCCTACACTATCCTCACTATCTGTGATAAATGGGAGCCCGTTGCTATCGTCACTATGTCAACCCACTTTTCTTTAGCTAACCTTCCACCTTTCTAAACATGATATCCTTTTCCAAGGCCTGTTCCCTCCTAATACTGTGCCCAAAGTACATGAGAAGAAGCTTCACCATCCTTGCCTTCAGGGAGCACCTTGGTTGTGCTTTCTCCAAGACATACTTATTTGTTCTTGTGGCAGTCCATAGGATATTTTATACTCTTAAGACTCCACCACCACAACTCACAGGCATTGATTCTACTTCTGTCATTTTTAGTCATTGTATAACAAGAAATGCATAGCAAGTAATTGCAAAGATACAGTTGCATAGCAAGTAATTGAAAAGACCATGGCCTGAATCAGGTGCACCTTAGTCTTTAAATTAACGTCATTGCTCCTTAGAACTTTGGAGAGATCCTTGACAGCACATTTTCCAATGCAGCACATCTTCTGGTCTCTTGACTGCTATTTCCAAGGGAGTAGATTGGATACTGATGGAGAGTCACTGTCAGTTGGAATCAACTTGACAATTGATGAGTGAGTGATACCTCTTGGTGGTGCTACAGATTAAGCATTGGGGTGCTAAGTGAAAGGTTGTTTCAAGCCTGCCAGCTTCTGCTTGGAGAAGATGAAGTCTGGCCCTGTAAAGTTGTTTGTTTGCCTTGACAAACTGCATATTCATCTTGTTTCTTAACACCACTTGGACTCCTTAATTTTGCCTTTCACTTTTGTTTTCCTATTAGCTGAACCTTACTAAGTTATTTTTTGAATTGCAGGTGCTTTTCCTGAATTTTTCAACTGCAGAATGTGTAACACCTTTAAAGGTAAATGAAAACAAACATTTTCATTGCAATTTAACGGTTATCAAAGGAAAACTGGGTACCATTTAGATGTTGACAAAAAACTGTCTCATGAGAAACATAGTAGTTCCTCTTGACAAGAGAAAAGACAGAAAAACGGGATTTATAAGAGAAGGAGAGCGGGGAAATTGACTAGGAACCCTGAATCTAGGTTTACCTTTTTTTTTTTTTTTTTTATAAGCAGCATTGAACTTCTCATTAGTTTCAGATCAATACCTTTCTGTCTTCTAAAACTAACTTTTGTCAGAGTAGCCACAGTTAATTAAGCTTTTGTTTGCCAAAACATACACTAAAATCAGTGAACTATTGGAAAGATTTGTATTTACTGTTTAATTACCAAGATATTTAGTAATAATAAAGAAAATTATTATAAATGCAATGAAAGTAAGGAAAGCCACTGCTGTCTAGTAATTTCTAAATAGTAGTGACTTTGGACATGTTGTAAGGAGGGACCGGTCCTTAGAGAGGGCCATCACGCTTGGTAGGGTGGAGGAGACAGCGTAGGAGGGAAAGCCCCTCTATGAGGTGGATTGATTCAGTGACTGGGGTAATTGAGGTGGGTGTATCGGAGACGGTACGATTGGCACAGGACAGAGCAGAGTTTAGGGCAGTTGTACTTAGGGTTGCTATGAGTCGCAAGCGACTTGACAGCACATAACAACAATAACAGTGACTAGAACGGCCCTGTAGCTTTTCCAAGGCTGTAAATTGTTGCAGAATCAGACTGCCACATCTTTATTCTGCAAGCAGCTGTTGGTTTCAACTAAAATCTTGATATCCAGCTGAGCATTTTAACCCCTGCTCTAAAAGGGCTCTTAATAAAAGTAAAAATTGAGGGTTGTTTGATCAAGACTTGGTGTGAAGTATCACAGACTTCCTCTCGTGAATGCTCACTCTTTTTAGTGAACAGGTAGTAAACTTTATGGAACCATTACTGTTCACCTGGCTACCAGTTTTATAAACACTTGTGTGTAAAAACCTCGTTGCACAAATGTGATAGTTTTCTAGATTACATCTTTCTTTAAAAGAAAAATTTTCTGGAGAAAAGTGCAACAATGAATGAATGGAAATCCAAAATCTCTGCAGATGTTCATTGAAATTAATTAAAACAAAGAAAAAATTTCTACTGACATTATATTTTAGTTACCTTGATTGGAGTGGAATTTTCATAAAGCTCAGACATCTCATTTCTTATTTATGACATGAGGAATTCGGTTACCAGTTATTAAAAGCATAGTTACACAGTAATTAATAATAACATTGTTATATTTTAAAGTTTCCTCCACAAGAAAAAAAGGACCTAAAACTGTTACCCAAATACATGTATTCATTATATTAATGTTTAAATTTTGCAGTTGAGTCTTCATCACTTTTTTTT